TGTTATTTCAACTCTTTACAAAACCTTTTATGTTTTTAACTTTGCTCAATCCTGGTCCCAAAAACCTATGGGAAATTCTGATATGTTTTTGAACATTTTATCGAGGAAGAAAGATAATATGGGAGGTCGTAGTGTTAACTTATGATGTGTTAAGAAAACAAAATTTTCAGATGAAAGCTGCTTTCTACCATTCCATAGAATGAGATAGAGAATCTTGAGTCAAACCCGTAGATATAAGTATCTAGACGATTCATTTTAATTCCTATACTGCCCACGATATCTATTCTAATATACGTAATTTTACGAAATTTGTTAATTTATAAATAATTTAACGTCATAAATAATTTTAATATTATTTGTTTTATATAATATTTCATATTTTATTAGCTAATTTATTTCAACTATAATACCGATGCATGACACAAGCATTACACAAGCTTATATTTATCTAAGTGTTTTGCAACAAGAGGTGTTTCCGGTGTTATTTGGCTCAAATGATGATGTGCTAATTTGTGCTATAACAAAATAATAGGAAACTAGTGTTTGTGAGTTTGTTGTACTAAAATTAGAAATCAGAATTCTTAGCTGATTATCCTTGTAAAGGAGGTTGCAAATTATTTCTTTGAATGTTGGGAAAATAAATTTAGTGAAGGCTTGGGGACTAAAAGTGGTGAAGCTTACTAGGAATGAAACAAACTTGCAATCAATTAGCTTTCAAACCATAATCATTTCCACCATAGTGACATGAGATGCATTATATTGTGGCGAAGAATAGGAAGGAAATATGAAATGGTCAGCCTTTTCATATTGGATGAACTCCATCTTATATGGGATCATACTCTGATCTCTTGGAGATGATTGTGTCTAGGATTAGTTATTTGAAAAGGATGAAATAAATAAAGGTTAACATAATTGGTTTATCAAGCTGTGTTACGAACGATGCTAACAATCTCAGAAAATGGATTGGAGTTGATTCTTGTTTTAAGTATCCACCCAATCTTATGCGTAAGCCTCTGATTTTAAATTTGAGGTGGTAGACAGTAATCCTGTTGATGAATATTATATGTTGGTTGCTCTTACAAAATTTGTCACTAAGATGTACTTCAACATACTAAATATGGTAGCCCAACAATAGTATATGTTCCTCCAACTTCAAACAGTTATTTAGCTATAACCCTTCATATCATTGCACGCTCTCATCCATAAGAAAACAAACAATTTCTGAAATGTTTTTGAACAAATTTGAAGATTATCACCAAAAGTGTCAAAGATTTTACTTTAAGAATAAGTTTGAGATATGGTGTGGGTTATTTGCTTAAAGGATTGAATAAGTTAGATAAAGAACTGATTTTGGAGTCATTTCATTTTGGATATGGTGTGGTCCCTACATCGATGTGTTTTGAGTCTTTAATAGCACATGTTGTCATAATTGTAGAACCACAATTCTAATTTGGATTACTTTAAACCAACAGAAATGATTCAAATAAAGGGTTGTGCTGGTCGGTGTTTAAAAGATAGTGTAAGCATTGTGTTATTCTTTGTAATAAATGAAGAAAGAACTAAAATAGAGTAATCAAAGTACAAAGCTCTTTGCGCGAAATTGGTGTTGTGATTGATGATATGAACGTTGACATTGCTATGGGGATTATTAAAAAGCACAAAAGATGTTCATATGTGAGGAGAAGGTTAAATGGCTCTCCTTATGCCGTCGGACAAGGATTTTGATATGATTTGAGAATGATTTTTGCTCCTTTGGTTATGAGTTTGATTTGAGCTTGGTTTTGCTTTGAAAAACTATTCTATAATGTGAGCTCGATTTTGCTAAAAAAAAAAAACCCAAAGCATGGCCGTTTCGAAAAGAATGACGTTCCTATTTGATTGTTGATTGACGAGCTCAAAAAGTTGAAAATTCTCATCATTATTAAAAAAAATTATGAAGTCGATATCACTAGAGTAACATCTCGACTTCGATCAACCAAAATAAGAATTGGAATTTCCAATTGCAATGTTCGTGTTACTACGTTACAACACTAGTAGAAAAAACCAATTGGGCTGCCCCAAATGGGAAGCAATTATTGAATTCCGCTTCCAAAAACACCAAAAAAAAAAAAAAAAAAAAAAAAAAAAAACTTAAAACAAGCAAATGGGTAGCGGTTTTGGGTGAACCGCTTCCAAATTTGTAATAGGAAGCGGTTTGAACATTGAACCGCTCCCCATTCTTTAAAAAAAAAACCCTAACAATACTAATTACCCATCACGTCATCTATTTCTCTCACCTCATCTCTCTCCATTTCTCACGCCTCTTTTCTCCTTCTCTCTCCTCTCCTCTCTCAAGCCTATCATCACTGGCCACAACAAATTCGAGTCAAATCCCCTCATTTTCGAGCAAAAAAACGAACCAAAAAACCCTGGAAATTCAAACCCAAAACCCCCCTAGTAAAATCGAGCAAATCCGAGCAAAAATCCAGCCTATCTGAGCCAAAATCGAGCAAATCTGAGCAGGTGGTGGCGCATGTGGGTGTTAGTGTTTGGTGGATGGATTTTTTTTTTTAATATTTGACCATGGAATTCTAGGTTTTTAATTTTAAAAACAAACTACAAGTTTTATGTCAAATTCGACCATGAAAATTCTAGATCTAGAATTTTCATGGTCGAATTTGACCTTTAAAACCCAAATTTCAAGCCAATTTCGGAATTTGATCTATGTTAGGCACATCGCTGGTATGTTCCTTTGTTTTTTTTTCTTTTTTCTTTTTTTTTTTTTAAATTTTATGGTGATGTGTGGTTGTATTGATTTGTTTCAGGCGGATCTAGTTTGGGTGGGGGTTTTGGTGGCGGTCGTGGTGGGTGAGGTGGTTTTTTAAAATTTTTTTTTAAAGGTGGGTTAAAGGTGGGTGGTGGTGGTGGTGATACAGGATAAGGGGGCTGGTGGTGGTGGTGGTGATACAGGTTAAGAACTGGTTTTGGTGGGTTACGGGTTAGTGATATAAATGGTGGTGAGTGTTGGTGTTTGGTGGATAAATTGCGCATGGCAAGTGGTCGTAGGCGCGTGTGGCTAGTGGTGCGCGTGGCTGGTGGTGGAACAAGAGCATCAACAATTTATATTGAATTTATTATCAATTTATTTAATTTTTTATTTTTTATTTTTTTTTATGAAAATCAGAAAATGTAATATTATAGCAACTAATTAATGAAAATACTTATGTTTATACATATGTTAAGCGCTTGTGTATCAATTTAATTGGAAAAAATCAATTTTTTTTTTAATTTTTATAGGCATAATGGGAAGCGGTTTGGAGCCAAAACCGCTTCCCATTACCTTCAAATAGGAAGTGGTTTGAACCGCTTCCCATTTAAAGGGGCAATGGGATGCCCCCCAAGCCCAAGCGGTTCAAAACTGCTTCCCATTAGGGGGTTTGAACCGCTTCCCAATTGCTTTTTTCTACTAGTGCAATTGCGGAAAGGTGTTAGAGATATGAGATATAATCAATATATAGGTGATATATTTTCATATTGATATTATTAAGAGAATAATATATTTAGGATTATTTATGTTAAGATATTATTTAGTGAATATATCAATAGGATTTATGGTTATGATAGTATATCTTTTATGAAGAATATTTCTTAATGATGTTAGTTTTTTGTATAAATACTCTGTCTATTGATGAATGATAATTAAGCCATACTATTAACTCTTTATCCCAAATTTGTTTGTTTCCTACTTCCCTTGGTTTTTGCTTCAAGCCTTAAAATTATTGGCTTAAGTTATGCATCATTAAACGTGGAAACTGAAAAGTTTAGGGCACTCGAATCAAACGAAATGAATAAGGATGTGTAATCTTCAGTTTATTTAAGGTGTTCCTGTGGTGTAATTCTTAAATTCTGGTTTGATTTAATTTGAATTTTTCAGATGTGATTGTCTAATTTGACTGACATTTAAGAAATAATATTATCAAGTAGATATCATTAGATTCGTTTTAGCATGTAAAAATTCTCCAAAAAGGCAGGTGTACGTTAATTTATTGTAAGACAGGTTAAAGTTATCTTAAAAGTATTTAAAGTTACCCTTTATACTACAAAAGTTATTATTTTTCTAATAATAATTTTTATCTTATAAAAACTTATAATGTATTAGATTAATCATATTAGTCTTTATAGTATTTAATCATGAATCTATAAAAAAAATTACATACTTCGTATTAAAATAAAATTCAAACTAACGACAAATTAAAAGTTACTCTTTAAGGGGTTAAAGTTATCATAAAAATAGTTAAAGTTACCCTCAAACTGACCGTCTTAAAATAAAATTAATGTACACCTGCCTTACAACTTACACAAGACTTATGATTTTTCAAATATACGAGTATGATTTCTATAATTTTTACACACATATACTAAATTAAGATATACGAGTACTCTTTATAACAATAATAAGCGAATGGAATTAAGAAGATCCGATCTCTCTTGGTCTAAAATCTTCTAATATGGTTTGATTTTAATAAGTAATATTTATTGGATAAGGTGAGGAGAACAAAGTCTAATTATTCTTAGTTTTACGAGTCTTACGAATTACGATGGATGTTTTTACAGCGATCGTTTGAAATATGACTACCACATTATTTTAATGATAAATAAAATGATCGGTTCATTTTTTTCACATTATAAAATGGGCGTATCAGTCTCCTAATATCTACAATAATACAAATATAATTTTTGAACATTTTAATCCAACATAAAATAATTATTTTACGAGAAAGTATAATAAAATAAGATAAATAACATAAATGAAACTATTAATTTGATATATAAAAAAATGTTGATAATACTATTTTATACCAAAAATAAAATAATAAACTTTACTACTGGGAGAGATTGTCACCAATAAACCATAAAGTCATAAAAACATCATAGTAATTGTATATCAAATGATTATTACTCCATATAAATTTCCAGTCTTACGACAATTGCTAAGTTAACTGCATGAAATTTTTACTAACATGTGCAATGTTATTCTGAATTATACCAACAGAATTAACCTCGCTTTTTTTACTGATTCTCTTATGAATTATCAAAAGCAGTGGAAACTGAGTTCTTCAATACTTCATGATCCCAAAACCTTAGCAAATGTTATACAAATTTACACAAAATCCAAGAATCTTAATGCAGGAAAACACCTTCATGCCCAGATCATTCGATCTGTTTATAAAGTATGCAAGTATGTCAACAATTATCTCCTCATACTGTACACAAAATGTGGGCACCTCGACTATGCACAGAAAGTGTTCGACAAAATGCCCAAGAGAAACTTGGTGTCATGGACTGCGTTGATCAGTGCTCTTTCACAGAACTCTCTATGCACGCAAGCATTACAAGCGTTTTCCCAGATGAGAATTGCTGGGGAAAGTCCGAATGAGTTCACGTTTTCGAGTGTTGTACTGGCTACGACGTTGCTTAAGGATGTCGGTTTTGGGAGGCAAATACATTGTCTCAGTGTAAAATGTGGGTTTAGCCATGAACTTTTTGTGGGTAGTAACCTTGCTGATATGTATTCCAAGTGTGGGGTGATTTGTGATGGGTGTAAGGTCTTTGAGGAGATGCCTTGTAAGGATGTAGTCTCGTGGACCTCGATGATACACGGGTATGCCAAGAATGGTGATTTTAAGGAGGCTTTGTTGGGTTTTAAGACAATGTTGTTTGAGGCAATGGTGATTGATAGTTATACAATTTCTTGTGCTTTAAGTGCTTGTGGGGCAATGAAGGCCTGTACATTTGGGAGATTGGTTCATTCGATGGTTGTGAAATCAGACTTTGAGGGGGATACTGCCATAGGCAATGCACTAGTGGATATGTACTCGAAACTGGGTGACATGGAAAGTGCGCTGAAAGTGTTTAAGTATAACTCTTGGCGTGTAGATGTTGTGTCATGTACCTCTTTGATTGATGGGTATGTGGAAGCTGGTCAAGTAGAGGAAGCGCTTGAGGTGTTTGTGGAGTTGAGGAGGCAAGGCTTGAAGCCCAATGAATTCACGTTCTCCAGCTTGGTTAAAGCTTGTGCTAACCAAGCTGCGCTTGAGCAAGGATCAATGCTTCATGCTCTAGCAATTAAAATGAATTTTGCAGCAGACCCATATGTCTCATCTACGCTAGTTTTTATGTACGGGAAGTGTGGATTGGTTGAGCATTCAGAACGATTGTTCAACTGTATCACAAACCCAACTGAGTTTGCATGGAATTCATTGTTGGGTGGTTTTTCTCAACATGGCTTCGGGAGAAAAGCCACTAAATTTTTTAAAAGAATGGTCCTTGGAGGTATGAAACCGAATGCTATAACCTTTATGATCCTCTTGACAGGTTGCAGCCATTCTGGGTTGGTTGATAAAGGATTGAACTACTTTAGTGCCATGGAGAGGGACTACGGGGTGACACCTACAGCAGAGCACTATTCATGTATTATTGATCTACTTAGCCGAGCAGGAAAGCTCAAAGAAGCCGATGACTTCATTAGTCAAATGCCTTTTGAGCCAAATGCTTTTGGTTGGTCTTCTTATCTTGGGGCTTGCAGGATTCAAGGTGATAAAGCACGGGCTAAAATCGCAGCAGAGAAGCTAATGAGGCTGGAGCCTGAGAATAGCAGCACACACATTCTTCTCTCTAGCATTTATGCAAAAGAAAGACAATGGGAAGATGTAAGAAATTTGAGGAAAATGATAAAAGATGGAAACATAAGAAAAGTGCCTGGCTATAGCTGGATCGATGTTGGGAACAAAACCCATGTTTTTGGCGCACATGAATGGTCTCATCCTCAACAAAGAGAGATCTACAATAAGCTCGATAGTCTCATAGAAGAGATAAAGAAAGTTGGATATAAACCCCAAATAGAAGTCGTTGATATTGATATAGATGACGACACAAAGGAAAAGATACTTAAAAATCATAGCGAGAAGCTAGCTGTTGCATTTGCACTAATGAGTATGCCGTCTTGGAAGCCTATAATCATAAAAAAGAATTTGAGGATATGCCTGGACTGTCATACTGCATTCAAGTTGATAGCGAAAGTAACTGGAAGGCATATAATAGTGAGGGATAGTAACAGGTTCCATCATTTTTCTAATGGATCTTGTTCCTGTGGAAATTTCTGGTAGTGCTCCAGGAGGTTTATTTCATCGCTGTTAAGCCTGAATAGAGAAGGCAAACAGTGAATGATGTCACTCCATATTGTTTTGCTTCCCAATCAAATAACTGAATCGCGTCTTGCATTTTACACAAGTCTGAAAATTTCCTTTTCAAGAGCATCTCTAGTTTTACTAGATTTCACAAACACTCGTGCCTGATACCCAATTCGCGGTCTGACTTATGGAGTATATCATATTGTCTTCAAGGTTACATAACGTGAATCGAACTAATTTAAAATCCGTATCACTATCATCAATTAGTCGATTACAATAAGTTAGATAACAAGTGACAATGGACCTAGATTTTACCCAAACTGATCCAATTGACTAATCAAATTTTACCCAAACTGATCCAATTGACTAATCAGTCATCACTTAAGTAAAAGCCAAGCCAAACCAAACCAACTCGTATGATGTTGCAAGTTGATGGGTTAATCAATTGACAAGTCTTGATGGACATAATGGACTAATGGAGGGAAATTGAGTTATCTTACTTATTTTTATGACTTGAAGGATTAGACATTCGTCACGACATGTTGAGCTACAAAGCACAGCAAAAACTATAACAGGGTATAATAAAGGCATAAACAGTAAAACCAAAAGTACAAAACTTCAATCAGATACTTAGTATCTACATCAAACAAAAGCACAGCAAAAAAATTATGGATACAATATAATCTTAAGATTCTTTGTATTTATCACAGAAAACACAACGTAGTTAACTTTTAAAGGTATACAGAATAACTTAAGAGCTACTTTTTTATTTCAAAATCCTATATTTCAAACAAGGAAATGACTGTTATGTACGCGCTAGAGTGCAGCAAATTAAAGGCATAAACTTCTACCTACAGAGAGAAACTATATATCCAGGTTAAATAGCGATGCTTCTCAGGGATCACAGATGAATCTTGCTGGAAACAATTGAATTATGCTCTAGGATAACGCGAACGCCCTTTTTTCCTCAGAAACTCGGGGATTTCCACTGAGCTAGCTTCACTGAAAGATGGCCGTTGGTTAATTCCAGGGCCACCATCTCCCTGTGTTTGCTGACTTACCTGCATCCTCAAAGTAAAATAGAACAATCAGGTACAAGTTTTTCCTCAAAAAAAATCAGGACAAGTTTGAGATCCAGTGTAAGTATCAATGTCAGTGTTCCCTTTTTTTTTCTACTCTTTGATCCTGGGCTTTTTTCCTTTTTTTCTTGAGGGAGGGATTGAGGAATAAAAAAAATACCTGGAGGGGCCTGCTTTCACCTTCTTCTTGACGTTTAAACCCTGTTGCTATTAAAGTTATGGCCACCTGAAATGGAAGGAAGGATTTCTTTTTCAAAAAAAAAGATGATCAATAACCAGACAAGACAAAGGTAGAATTTGGTTGTATTTGAGGCAAATTTCTGTATATCAGAGCCAAACGTTCTCGGAGGACTGGGTGACATTCCAAAAATACGACCAAGCTCAAGGTCCATGTGAGTTTTTCACATTTGGGTATAATGAATAAAGAATACATAAATGTCTGGTGAATGGCTGATACTTTATCAATCTTAATGAGGAAGGCAATATATGCAATTTTTATTGAGACTCAGAGATCAGCCTTCTGATAATAAATAAGAAAAGTGGCAGATATGGGAGTTACCCATTCCCTAGCATAGCTAAAGCCTCTAGTGCAGATGATTTATCATTGCATAAGTTTATGCTAATGCACTTTCATTAAAAAAAGGGAAATTCTTATTGGTAGAATTCTACTTTTGGCTTTTATAGTTGGTAGTAAAAACTTTTTTTATTATCAATGGTAGCCCTAATCTTTTTACAATTTATCACAAGTGGCATAATGATGATTTTTTATTAGAAATTCTGTTAATTCTAACTTTTATTGAAAACTAAGGTTAACATTTTCAGCTAAAAGAAGGGATTTAAGAAAACAAAATAAAAAATCAAACCCACAAAATCAGCCAACACATCCCTTCTTCTTTCTTCCCTCCCCATCCCCAATCAAACCTCCACTACTAAGCCTTGACTGCCGCTTCACCTCCATCACAGCCACCACCTCCGCCGCAAAATTTTTGTAGGTGTCGAATATCTTGAAGGAGTAAAGAGTATTCTTTAATCCTAGTTGTATGATTAATGATGATGATGATAAGGTTGTGTTGCGGGAATTTAAGAAGAACATGATGACTGTGATGTGCTGTGTAGTGCAGTGCAGTGTAAAGGAAAAGAGTAAATCCTTTATCAGACCAAAAAACAAAGAGAGGAAGAAAGAATGAAGAGAACGGTTAAATGGATACTCGGAAAAAAAAAAAAAAAAAAAAAAAAAAAAAAAAAAAAAAAAACCCCAAAAATTTCCTTAAAATCCCAAAATATTAATTAATAAAAACCTCTTTGAAAAAATAGATGGGTAGGCGTAGATTCTAGAACGATTAATTGGGTTTGTGTTAGATTTTCGATTTGAGTTAGATTTTCGAAAGAAGAGAGAGACAAGAGAGTGGGGTGAAGGAGGAGAGAGAAAAAATGGTAGTGGAGGTGGGGATTGGATAGTGTGAAGATGATGAAGGGTATTAGACAAATGAGATGGTTAACCATGGTTAAATAAAGTTAGTTTTAACAGAACTTTTAAGAAGTCAACATTAATGTCATGTTTGATAACGTGTAGTAGATTAGGATTACCATTAATAACCCAAAAAAAATGGCTACCATTGATAAAAAGTCAAAAGTACAGGATTAACAATGAGAATCTCTTTTAAAAAAATCTTGCACGATTTCCAGTTACAGAGTAGACTAGAACTATATCAAAATCATATCATGCTGTAAAATATAATATGATTGTCAAGCAATATGAGTCACTTGAAAGGAATTAGGCAACTAATGACTCTCTTTGAGGATTTTAGGTAACCAGAGAAGATCAAGCTTTGTGAGAACAGGTTGCTAGCATATGACTGATAAGTCAAAGACGCAATTCTTAGTTCAAACTATATCTAGAAGCCCAAAAATACTACATATCAGAGCTTAAGAAGTCAAGAGTATTGTCATTAGTAGCACATCATTCTCTCTGATGCATGACATAGTAGCAACCAAGTTGGCAAGTTCCAGCAAAACTCACATAGAGAAGATACAAGTTAATGTAAGATTCTGGGGAGACAATATATTTGTCCACACAATGCATTTTACATTGCTTACTCACCTGACCACTAAGTGATGGATCTATAACTGCTCCAAATATCAGGTTGGCTGTTGGATCTACAAGATCATAAATAACTTCTGCTGCAGCATTCACCTGTCAAGTTACAATTTGAAGATCCATTAAAACAAAAAGGCATTAGGTTGAGTTGTATAAAAAGAGCATCAGGGCTTAACTTTGTTTTTTTCTACAGAACAAAACGTCCAACTGCCATCACTAGATTTTTTTCCCCCATACATAAATGCTTACTACACATGATTTTCTATGTCGTTAGAGAGACAGACATATAACATCTGTTCTGCAATTCTAAAATAAGAAGGGGAAAAAAAAATCAAGTTATAAGACCATTTTTTTTTAATAACTACTGTTCTACATGTCTAAAATAAGAATCCTAATCATGTGACAAATGATTTATTGTCCTCAATAATCTGGCTAAAAAAGGTGAACAATACTCAAACATGCAATTTAAAAATCAATTAGGTAGACCTTTCATAAGGAAGTGAAGCATCAAACAACGAAATTACACAAACTATAGAATCTAATTGACAGAAAGCAGGTACCTCAAACAAGGTTAAATCACTTCCACCAGTAATATTCCACACAATGCCAGTGGCTCTTTCTATACCAATATCTAGTAAAGGTGACTGGATGGCATTAAGGGCAGCATCTCTTGCTCGGGTCTTACCTGCACAAAAATACACAACATATTGAAAAAATGTAGCTGCTAAGTGCTGAGACAAGCTTCCATTGATATATTAGTAAACTTATGGTAGACAGTTGAATTTAAGCAAAGGTAATTAAAAGCAAGCATGAAAACAACAAAACAAAGCATAGCATGTACACTCTAAGTCCTAGGTATTCAAGATAAGACATAGAAAAGCCATGACCCATAGCTCAACATCATAACAATTTTGCATACACAGAAAGGGGAGCTTCAAAACGCAAAACTATTTCATAAAATCAAAGGGTTGGACCCAAGTACTTCCCTCCATTAGATATGGAAAACTAGTAAAAACGTGTATTTATATTGCAAGTTATAAGTGGAGAACTAAGGGGCCACTTCAGCCCGCATATGCTTGTCTAATCAGCATATTGTAAATTCTGTTTGGCAGTATCATGGTTAAACCTAAAGAGAATCATTTTAAGAAATTAAAATTGGCATATCTTCCTTGCTAATTGTCGGCTTCAACACTAAACCCCCGAAAATCAAGCAAACAAGAATAAAGATAAACTAATGGTTTCTTACCCCAAGCCAAATGCCATAATAATAACAATAAGAAAACACTATCAAAAGGCTTATTCTTATTCAGAAAAGACCTTTGTCATGAGTTCATGACAGGCAAACACACTTTCAAAACATCATCTACACACAAGTTATAAGGTCCCACTCCTTCAAATTTAGGTTGTGCTGCAAGATTAGAATCTCAATTGGAGGAGAGGGGTAGAGATGAATGCTCATTGGGTTGGTAGGTTTCAGCCAAAAGCAGTTCATACATGAAACCTTTCCTCTGCCCTCCGTCACATCTCCCTAGGCCAAAAGAGGAGTTGAACCTAAACTTTCTTCATTTTTAGATATCAATCATCTCAGAGAACTTCACATATATTCTAAAAGACAGTTTCAAGTGATCTTTTATAAAATAATGGTCAACATGAGTGGAGATAGAGGTGTCAATTCGGATGATTGGATCGGATCTGGTCAATTTTTAAAGTTGAGTCATACCAAATTATTATGTCCACGTGAGTTGAAATCTGAAACGGATATTTTTTGGGTCGGTTTCGGATCGGGTCGGGTATGGTTT